GGTCTGCTCCCTCTCTATACTGTATTTCAGTGCTGTGTACGGACCAAATAGTCATCACAGCCAGAGGATGTATTTGTATGGCAACAGATATGGTCATAAAATATACTTGCATTCATTTTCTATGTTAGATGTGATGACAATTTAAGTCAAAACTAATGTTCTACTGCTAATACTTACACATGTACTCACCTTAACCCACTAAGGAGTCCAATAGGTTATTTAAGGGTATACTTGAGACTGCAGGATTAGAACATAAGAATTAAGCATGGCTAAAAGGGAAATGGAAATGAAATAATTTCTGTTGTATTTAAATATTGTTTGTGTTTAAATTTAGAAAGAGTTACTAGAATTAGGAAACTTACATTATCCAAAACTAATTACATAATGTTAATTTCTTCTTTTTGTGCAAGGTAGTTCATGTGCAAGCTCAAATGTACTGCACAGTTAGTATTTTTAAACGTTTCTAGATACATCCTATTAGGGACATCTGTTTTAACAAAGAGAAAATAACAGATTAAAATTAGAAATGACTCTATGAAGAGAGAGTTCCTCTTTAAGCATCTGTGTGTTTTCTTATGGGTTGGCCAGGGAAAGAATGCAATGGGCAGACCCCCAGTAAATTAATGAGGTAATATATGCATCCAATGGTAGAACAGTCTTTTGTGGGTATTTTCTTTATGTGTCCCCTCCCAGGCAGTTTCACAATATACTGTACAGTTTCTTTTACAATGGATGTTCAGAATGCATATTACTTTCTGTAAGGAAGAAAGCAAAAGTGAAACAACTGCTAATTGGAGAAAGTCCCCGTGAGTAATAGTGAAGTGCTTTAGGTTACACTGCTGCAGCAAAGACAAAACTTAAGTTAGTAAAGCTGTCTCCCGAATTTTAAGGTAGCTTGGCCTCAGAAGCTTTGTTTTCTTCAGATTTATTGATGCTGAGAAAAAAAATTAAAATATTATTTTATCCCATGCTTGTGTGCAGATGCAGCATAAATATTATTTGTTTATCAAGTAAGGATGACTCAGCAGCATTTATGTTTAAGAGTAAGAGGAACTACAAGACTTCAGAATACATTCCTAGTTTTCACTTTAAGGAATGACATTACAAGATGATTCAATAGCATATAACCACAAAAATCCAGTGCTAAGAGGAACACAAGTTTTAAGTATCTTAATAGAGAAATATTTTAAACTATTTTCTGTAAGTTCTTCTGTATTTCCATATTTTTACTGCATCAAACTAAACAAAAAAGTGCTGTGCTCTGATGTCCTGGTTTCGGCTGGGATAGAGTTAACTTTCTTTCTGGTGGCTGGGGGGTGCTGTGTTTTGGGTTTGGTATGAGAGGAGCGTTGATGGCTCATTGATGTTTTGGCTACTGTTGGGTGGTGCTTGCACCAGGGACTTTTCGGCCTCCCGTGCTCTGCCAGGTACATGGGAAGCTGCGGGGGAGCATAGCCAGGGCGAGTGACCCAGCTGGCCAATGGGGTATCCCATACCATGTGACATCATGCTCAGTATAAAAACTGGAGGGGGGTATGGGGGGTGTGTGGGGTGGCACTCCCCTGTTTGCGACACGC